GGTGGTGAGGACCCGGTCCGTGCCTGTGGAAACCGTTGCCATTGGTGTAATTCGGCATCCCGGCTTCGCCTCTGCCTCTTCCCAGTTGAGCGTGATGAGGCAGGTGTGGTTGTAGCTTCATGTTACCGAGGCGAACAGGATGCCCATGGGGCAAAAGGGCACAGCCATTCATGCCCATTGCTGGCGAGGGCAACTGATGAAGCGAGCGCGGGTGCGCGTGCAGGTGAGGATGCGTGATCATTTTGCCCCCCTGTCCCATTTGTCCTTGACTAGCATGGCTAGGTAGCCCCCGTCGCCCTTCTCCAGACCCCACTGACTCTAAAGGCTGCATCATGTCCCCTCTCGGATGTGCATCTGCGCTCAGCAGCTCTTTGAGCAGCCCTGCAGCACAGTTGTACTGACTCACGAAGGGTCCGTAGCCTCCTGGTTGACTGTCCGATAAAGTCGGTATGGCAATGGGACCCAGTCCGCCCACCCCGGCCTGTACATACAGGCACTTCCGGTAGTCCTGCTGGACTTGGGGCTGAGGACCCATATTGGGGGAGTTGTAAGACGGGTACCCAGGGCTACCCTGCATCATGGGCGAAGACAGTGCAGTTTGGGCGTCTTGGCTGCCCTGGGTGTTATTTTTGGGTGAGATGAGGTTGAGGTTGTCTAAGAGATTGTCCATCATCACGTTCTCGAAACTGTGGTGACCCGTCACTTCGGAAAGGCTGGGGAGGGGGCCGCCCAGTTTGGTGCCTGGGTACCCGATGGGAACCTCACCGGCCTCGTCCTCCTCAGGTAGGAAGGGTGAGCGACGGCCGCTGAGCGTACTGGCATCAGAGCTGGCACGGGTACGAAATGTTGTCCAGGGTTCAAAGTCATCATTGCTGTGAGAGTTGGGGCTGCCGAGCCATTTTGGGTACTGAGAACCAGGACTGTTAGAACCACCGTCCAGTCCACTCTGCAACGACATCTACAGATACAAAAGAAGAGCTATGAAAACCAACTGTAACACATTATTGCTCAGATATATATTGCTGTAAGTCACTTTTACACCATGTCTACACTGGAAGTAGCACAACTATTGATCATCTCATTAAAGCAAACCAATGAGATTTAAGTTTGAGGCCATGAATTATTTTTAAACTGAATTTGACTGGAAAAAGGAAGGAAAA